GAAAGAGATCTCGCACTTAGCTGAAGAAGCTGGTGGTTTGGTTTTGGTTTTTAAATGGTCTAGCTTTCTGTATTTCAGAAATCATTCTTTTATCAAAAATACACCCTTTTCCTTCTTCTTAATTACCATTAATTCCCTTCCACATTCTCTTTCTGAACAGATGAACCCAGCCTACGAGAGGTATTTGAAGCCACTTCTTCACAAGAAGCTAGCCAAATTATGAAGACCATGATCTAAGTGAAGGCCACACATTTCCTCCTGTTCTTTGTGCAGCAGTACATTGATGAAGCATCAGCAATGACTAATTAGAATTCATAATCAGTTGCTTACTTGCAGCTGTAGCAAGTATGAAACAAGATTCTTTGCCAGACATTTGCATTTAATCAGACAGAAGCCAAACAACACTAAGTGGTGCCCACTGCTATGAGGCAATGAGGCAAACAGCCTAGGGTTTGCTATTTCCTTACCTGAAGTCTCCCAGTAGCATTAAAACTATGTCATTTGGCTTTCTTATTCTTTTTCTGAATATACTCTATGGAGATTAAAGGGCAAAAAAACCCTTAAACCACATTATGAGCCTGCCCTCAGTGTGTTATAGCTGTACAGTGCCTTCAGAAAATCCCCCAAAACCCACAAACCCAACCTTTACTGAAAAACACAAGGAAGGTAAAATGATGGTACTTGGTTTCTAGGAAAAACTTGTTCTCTTAGATCAAAAAGTATACTAGAAAGTACATCTATTTGGATAATTAACACAGCTCTTGACTTGCTCAGCAGTGGAATATTCCGGGCTAATGAAGATTCAGACACAAAGGTGATGCCAACTCCAGACTGCGGAATTTCCTTTCCCGTTAATAGAGCCACTCACATGGTCTTTCTATAACTCTTGGGCTCCAATAAAGTGTATTATTTGGAATACTGCTTCGCTAATTATTATACTTCATAATTATGGAAAAGGCAGGCTGATCCAGGCCAGTCATTAATTTCCTAGTAAATGAAGTGTTGCAAAGAACATCTTGTGATTGTAACTCGATGCCAGTTAACACAGATATTTCTTACCATGGGTTGCAGGAAAGAAACAACCACTTTCCCTGAGCTTCATCAGTTCAGTTTTTCTTTCCCCCCTTATAGGAAGAATAAAGCTCTTACTGCTTATTACAAAAGTCAGAAACCCTGCAATGTATGAAGAGGGGGAGATAAAATATGAGAGAGAAATACAGGCCTGCTGAGTGAGAGACGGGATGGGAAGCTCCTGCCCTCAAGAACCACCAACTGCCATAGAAATCCAGACCGTCTCTTACATCCCCAAAGAGCAAAGCAGTTGTGGTAAGGAGCACTTGAGGGGAGAACTTCAGCACTTCAGGAGAGAACAGGATCCATTCATCCAAATGGATATCAACTTTTTTATTCCCAACAGCATTCAAGTTAGAGCATAACCAGAAATTCCATTAATAACTACAACAAATTCATAGAACAGTTAGGGTTGGAAAGGACCTTAAGATCATCTAGTTCCAAACCCCCGTGCCATGGGCAGGGACAGCTCGCACTAAACCACGTCACCCAAGGCTCTGTCCAACCTGGCCTTGAACACCACCACGGATGGAGCATTCACAACTTCCTTGGGCAACCCATTCCAGTGCCTCAACACCCTCACTGTGAAGAACTTCTTCCTTATATCTAACCTAAACTTCTCTTATTTAAGTTTGAACCCATCACCCCTTGTCCTACCACTATAGTCCCTAATGAATAGTCCCTCCCCAGCATCCTTACAGTCCCCCTTCAGATACTGGAAGCTGCTTCGAGGTCTCCATGCAGCTTCTCTTCTCCAGGCTGAACAGCCGCAGCTTTCTCAGCCTGTCTTCATATGCTCCAGCCAAATTGCCCAAGATAAGCAAAAAAGGCTACACAAAACTGAGTAAAACCACAGAAATTGAGTGCCTTCACTTGAACATCATCAACAACAGCACTCCACAGTTAAAATTCTATCTATAAAGTCATTAGATAAATCACTGACAAACCAGGTAACACTACTTAGCAGCTACTCAAGGCTCTGTGTTGCCTCCATCCCTACCCCTTTAGCCAGGACAAATACTTGGCATCTTTCTGTTAGTCGTAATGCAGTTCGCAAAACAAGCTTTTTCTGTAATGAGGACAGTTGAATCAACTAATTAATATAAAAAGGCACAAACTGCATCAGTAATGGAGAGAATGGAGCCCTATCAGAGCATCTGAACTACTCTACAGCATAGAAAAACAGTTTGGACGGGTTCTTTTGAGTTGCCTGGTTTTAGTTTTCTAAGTATTAATGTTCTAGAAGACAAAAAGAAAATAGAAAATAGTGTTCTGTATTTCACATTTTTATTAACTTCTTGCTGGCAGGCATTACACTTGGGAATAATATTGCACCAGGCATTAAAAATATGAATTCTACCACAGGGACATTTTGCATTTAGAATCCAATATAAATATTTCTAATCATATTTCCATGGCTACAGATAATATTTGGTTGCTTGATTTATATGCATAGAAAGAAACAGTTGTCATAACTGTAAGAAACTGTACTTATCAAGTACTTTTAAAAGGGGGGATTTGTTTTCCTAGAATATTACAATACTGCTTATTGATTTAGAAACTAAATTAGTCTACATGATAGCAGCTTTTCCCCGACTGCATTTTAAATTCTTTTGTTTCTTGCTCCCAGTGTCATCGCGTTAGATGGATTAGAAACCATTTAAATAGAGGTAATTTTAGCACTTTGAGTCAGAGAATTGTGTTAATGACATAAAATACCCTATTGGACTAATTCTTCGGACTCCCTCTTTCAAACAAAAAGGTGTCTTGACTGAACAGGCACATGCACGGTTTTCTTTTCAGAACAGGACAAAAGGACAGAGCTGCTAGAGAAGGAAACTCCTCCAGTCCTTACTGAATAACAATAAATAGTCGTATAAAAAAAAAAAAAAAAAAAAAAGCCCACATTGTTGCTTTAGTCAAAATCCAGACTCTCTTGTGATTACTGTCCAGGTAAGTTGCTAATCACTGAAGTGGCTCCTGGGGAGCCAGAATCAGTCATCTGTTTTCCGTGCCAGTCTACAGAAAGTCCAGTTATGCTCCACTGTGTTCTCGTTGGCCCGCTCACTCATATGATGAACTCTGGTATTCCTGATCGTGAAGCCTTGCTTTGTGATGTACTCCATGAGGTGGACTCTGAGCGACACTTCCTGGTGGTAATCACATGGCCCAAAAGTGAAGGAAACCTGGCAGTCCCTAGTGTCCATCATATGCTTATTCCACTTCGTGAAGTGGTTTGAAATACCCTCCAGTAACGAATGGACTTTTGTGGTGATAGTGAGCTGCGTGATGATTACAGCCACCGGGTTGGAGTACTTGGAAAGCTTCCGGGTGCTGGACAGCTCCACCACCTCCTCAAAGGTATCCACGGGATACAGCGGTTTGGGGTCATTAAGACACTGAATGAGTGGTTCGATCTGATAGAAGTCCGCTTCCTTCCGCAGTAGGTCGAACTCCTTGAAGTCCAGTGGCAAAGTGAGCTCTGAGGTCCTTAAAAAGTTAAGAACATAACGGAAAAGTGGTCCATCTCTGTCAATAAAGTAATTGCCCTGAGAGTCCCTGGCAGTGGGGAAGTCTCCCCTGAACATGGCCCCAAGCATTGAGTCAGGATATCTCGTTAGAGTTGTGAGGGATGTCGTATACATGTGTCCACCCACATTTAGCGTGACTGGATCAGTCATCTAGAAAGAGAGAAATCGCAGAGTTTATCAAGCCACCACAAGAAGATTCAATCACCTCACTGACACGCATGGCAAATACTGTTGGAGAACTGCAGGCTCTGGAGAGAATCACACTTCTCCCATCCGAAGCCTTTAAGCGGTGTTGAAACCCGAACAAATCCAAGCCACCTAGCAACAAGGCACAACTGGCAACTAGACAGGGTGATAGTTAACATTCAGAATGCACATTTCCAGAATGCTTTAGAAATCTTAACAACTGAGCTGCTGTCACAGAAGCAAGTTTTGCATTTGGGCAACAAGTTTTTTTCCTATTCTACAGATGGGGAAATGAGAACAGAGAGATTTCCTGAAGAACAAGTTAGTCTGAATGAGGCCCTGCAGTGTTCCTTACTTATACAATCTGTCTCATTCCAGAACAAACAAAAAAGGGAAAAAAATAAAAGGAAAAAGAAAGAAAGAAAAAAAAAAATCAGCTGAACAAGTCCTAAGCCTCTTTCTCTCCCTCAAAACAGGATGACGGTGCAAGTTTAGACACCAGACCAAGAGCTCACAATCCAAATAATCCATGCTCTGGTTGAGATGCATCACTAAAACAAGCAAACAAAAAAAGAACTTTCAGCTTTTAAGTCTAAAAAGAAATATTTATTAGCAAATGAGCATGCTGTGTAGAAGAGGAAGGCAGAGCACAACCAGTCTGCATCAGCTTCCAGATAGCACATGAGGAAGCAAAAGAAAAAGGAACATAAATCCCATCTGGCCGCCAACCCTAACAACTAGGACTGAGGCCAGCCAGAGAAGAGAGACATATGCACGGCAGCAGAATGTTTAGAAGAGGAGAAAAGGAGGAAAAAAGATGCATTTGTCTAGTTTGAGACAGGGTTAGCAAGGAAAAATACTTTCTGCCTTTGTGTTAGGAAAATGGTAACAGTGAGTTTAAGGCATCACTTAAGTACTCACTGATTGCAGAACATGAACCTGAGCTCTCCCCACAAACAGCATGCAAGGTGAAGCACTCCAGAGAATGTAAGTAAGCTGTTGTAACATGCAAAGCTTTTCTTCTCACATGACTGAAGCTCTGGATCTACCCAAGACAGATCTGGAAGGACTCTCACTGCAAAGTCTCAAAAGCCCAGCTGTACTGCACAGTGCACACTTCCACAAGCTCCATACGCACTTACCATATATCCCCAGTCTCCATTATCCATCTGTTCAATTGCTTGAACTGTGGTATTCCAAGTTTAACAGAAGGCTGCTGGAAGCATACACAATTCACCTCCTCTTATCTCCCTGCAGGAAAAAGCACACACAGAAACACAAAACAAAGAACAAGACACGACAGACCATCAGTACGTACAAGAACCACCAAGGGGAATGCTTCCTAAGCAAAGGCAGGCGTTCTGCCAGCAGAACATTCAGCTACAAAACCACATTAGCAGGGGAATCTACAAACATGCTTTTCCCACCTTCTCCCTTCATGCTACCCGCAGGACTGCCTCCGGAGCACACAGGTAATCACTCCACCAGTGGTCTGACCATCCCAGTTTTGTTAAATGACAAGCAATCTGTTTCCGAGGATAACAGATATTCCCAGACTGCCTTCCACCTGGGAAACTGTGAGTACTTTGAAAGACAGATGTCCTTTTCCCAATTAAAAAAGTTGCTTTAGTCACTACTGGTCATACATGTGATCTGTTAACATTGTCAGAACTCCCATGCTCCAGTTTTAAACTGCACAGAAGAATAAATCAAGCATGAAAGTCCATGAACAGCAAACAGCAAAAAAATATCTCTGTAGAATTAATAATTCAGCAGTGGAGAACTGCAACTGATAGCAAGAACATTAAACTACAATATGAATGGACTTCACAGACACATACACACCCTCAAAAGAAATCTCTTCAGGGACAAGCCACAGGACATCAAACATGTTTTCAACAACACCCCAACAACAGCAATTTGAGAAGTGGTTCATGCTCTGACTTCCCTGTCCCTGAACTGCTGACTTGCATAACAAGGGGACTCTCTCCACACAAGCACACCAAGGGAAATCCACAGCCCGGGTTGTGCAACTTGAGGTGGGGGGTGGGAGTGAATGACCCCAGACACCAGTGGAGGTTTTCCAAACATGGCCTGCCAACCATGTCAAGTGATGAACAGACCAGAAGCCAGCCACCAATAAGTCTTTATCCCTACCGAGAGCCTGCCTCGCTGCTAGAATTGCTGGAAATTTAGGTCAGTCTGTTTTAAGTAGGGTACAGCTTCTCAGCTTTGTTTATTTTTACATCTTACAGACCACACAGTTACCAAGACTTCTGCCTCCATCCTCTTTACTAGCAAACTTCAACACACAGCCACCCAGCTAAAGGCAGCACAAAGATCAAGCCAAGCCAGAGCCCACACTCAAACCAACTGAAGGTTCAGAGTTAATTCCCAACCAAAAAGATGACTTGCCCTTCTCAGTCCTAGCAAATCAGGTTGGTCTCATTCACCACAGCACATCCCACCTCTCTGGGCTGTGTTATCCCAGCCAAACCCACAGCCTGGACACAACAGAATCCACCAGGTCATCCTTCAGGGGCTGGCAGCATGAGCACAGCCTCAGACGTATTCAAGAGCAGAAAAACCCAAATCACTGTATGAAAATCATGAGGTAAGACAACAGAAGACTAAGTCAGATACAAGAACTAGTCATACCAGGATCCTATTTTTACAAATTAGAGACAGAGCATGCCTCAAGAAAGTACATTAAAGCACAGCCTGACAGCAGATAAACCTGGAATGCCAGCTCTTTTGCCAGCCTCTGTAATTACGTGATTTAAACTGCTCACAAATCAAGAAGTGAATTCATTCAGGTTTTCTTTACTTGGGATTGTCATTCAAGTACAACCCATAACTTTTATCAGTAGCCCAGGCCTTTTCAATTCGAGCACTTACAGGTGTTATTCTGGTCAAGTACAACTCCAGTATAACACATAGATGCACTAAAACTATAGAAGAGACCAATCCAGGCTTCTGACAGTCAAAGCAACATTCACTTGAAAGTGAACTGATGCAGCCAGCCAGAAACTTCCCCAGTAATCATGACAGAGATCTGCAGTGTTAATAAAATTAACTGCAATTATATAATCAGAATATTGCAAAGACAGATGCCCATCAGTGATGTTATTTTGGCCAGCATCTAAATCCACACTACAGATGCATCAAGACTATCAGGGCAAGAAACAGATGATACTGTCTGTACAAAGGCATGAACTAATCTTTGGTCGCAGCACTGCTACATAACACTGGAGTGAATAACTTATAAGCAGTTTGCTGCAGCAAACCCAGCTCTCGACACAGAAGTGGCACTGAGAAACCTTCACTATCTTTGTGTAAGGACCTGGAATCACTGGGCACACACAAACCTCCCTGGCACAGCCAGTGCTGGAGTAGGACACACAATGCAAGGGGATGACTCCAGGAGGCCGCCCTAAAATGCTTGAGTGTGATCACAAGTTCCCTCATCTGCCAGGGAGCTCTGAATTTCTAAACAACTTCACAGGCAAAAATAACTCTGTTTGGGTGCAACCCAAGGTAAGGACTAGCACAACATATCACCAGAAGGGTAAGGACGTGCACCCTTCATGATGTACACCTTTCCAACGATGCTTGACGTTCTTCCTGAATGAACTATGGTGGTGCATCAGTGGGGGTGGGCAGACACTCACTCCATCTGTACCCTGGGATACACAGCCTCAGTCCAGCTCTCGTCCCTGTGTCAGACAACACCACAGTGCACCCAGGGGCAGCTTCACTAATGTGGCTACTCAGGTCCAGAGAGCAGATAAAGAGATGACACGCAGCCATATCCCAACACAACCTGCCTTTAATAACCATAAGAAATTGTCATGCAAGATGAAATTAAGCTAAACTGCTGACACCATTTAAGCCAGACGGGATATCACTCTTTGGCGAGAGCAGAAGCGCACTGATCGTCTGAAACCACAGTCCTGCTTTCGTTGAACTGCTTCTGCAAGCAGGGAGAAGATACACAGCATTAACATGGTCATTACAGTTGCTGCTGTAGCCAAGCACATCCCAAACTAGAAAGACACAATGAGAAGCAAGTACCTTTGAAGAAAAAAGACCCAAGTCATCATTTTATACTTAATACACTGAATTGGATACCTGCATTTATAAAATGCTCACTCTTATTTCATATGTTATGACTCAGAGGATCACAAGGCTCTTCACAAGCAACACTACTACAACAGGTATTCTCATTAACTTCAGCAGGGCTTCTTCCAGGGCAGAGCTGCTAACATGCAACCATTCTACAAGCTGAAATTCAGAGAAAGCCAGAAGAATCAGCTGAATTTCTGCATCTGCGAACACACACATGGGCTTAGGCAGGCCAGAGGATGCTGGCAGCATTCCCCAGCGTTTGCACTGTTGGGACCCATGTGCACTGCAGTTGGTCAAGGCCACAGGCTACACACTGCATCTGGAGAAAACCACTGCACTGGCACCACATGCAGTTACTTGAAGGAGGAGCAGAACAGACCTAACAGTTAAAAGTCAAGAGTCATGCACCACGTGGTTTGCTCTGAATGGTTTTCATCTAGTCTTTCCAACAAAAGAATTAAAGGATTTACTTGTGGCACATCTTTAATGGACAGTTTGGTATCAGTTTAACACCACAAGCTGTTTAACCTCAATAATTATCTTAGATTTCTAGGTCATAGTTCATAGGAATTCTACCAATGGCAACTTAAAAAGAGCAAAGCTGGGACTCTACTTATACAGATAAATACACTTGGTATTTCAAGCTACTCACCCACTTAGTGAGCTCCCTGCCTCTCACATTTAGATCTCCAAAGATGAGAAGAAACTCCTGCCCTCAGCACAGTTACACTGTACAGAGACAACCTTTTTATTCCCCAGTATTTGAAAGGCAAGTTTTTTCTTATAAATCATTATCAGTGACTCACCTGAACTGACAAAACCTAACTAGCACCAGAGATGACTGCACTCCACCACACTGTACAGCGAGACAAGTCTGCAGAGTGAACCCACGAGGCTTCAACACTCTGCCACCCTAACCAAGGGAGTGAGGAGGAGGCGGCAAGCTCTTAAAACAACCAGTTACCAAATCTTCTGGCAGAGCAGATCAGCTTCACTACAGAAAGCACCCATCACCCTCTACACATGTCAAGTTTATAACAACTAGTAGTTTATTAAAAATTAACTCAGCTCTTGCTTTTCTTTAGTTGTTTGGTTTTTTTTTTTAATTAATACTTAGTCTTCACCCCAGACAGGAGGGAAAAAAACACTCGCAGCAGCCACTCAGCATTCTCACTCCTTCATGTCTAATTGCTTCACTATAAATTCCAAGCTCCCAAAGTTTCCTTCCCTCCCCTGAGGAGCTCTATTACATCTTGGTTTAAGTCCAGGTTCCAAACTTTTATTTTAATTGCTAGTCTGAAAAGCTCACATCACGGTGTCACTTGGGCTCTCCTCTCACAAGAGCCAAAGGAAGATACAAGTATCTAGCCTGGTCCTGCTGGCCCTGTGCTGCTGAAGTAACCCAAGGCACCCAGGCTTCCAGCACCCCTGACAACACTTGGGTTTTACCCATGTATTTTGCTTCTTCGGAACTAACCAGTAGCTGGTTCTGTGTGGAAATGAGCCTGCAGACAGTTCTGGAGGAAGGCAGGTGTCAGGAACACCAAGCCTCCCTGCACTCACCAGTGGGGCTCAGCATGTGCATGGACCAAAGAGCAATGCAGCAAGACAGAGGCAGAAATACCTCCTGTGAGCCCAAATCAGAGAGGGGCCCAGGCCTGCAGCAGGAGCTGGGAAGTGTTAATTTCCATTACAGACGAACCAGTGAGCTCACGGTGGAGGGACTCTCCCCAGAATCACAATGATTCAGCAAAGATGCTAGAAGTGAACCCAGACATTTTACCTCTCCCCTGCAAGTGACCCCAAGACCCTACACCCTCTCCCTCACCCCAAACCGGTGACCCAGCTCTGTCTCCTCTCCCCGGTGGGGCAACGGAACCCACTCCCCTCTCCACGTGGGGCAAGACCCCACTCTCCCTGCCAGAGTTCGCCGCTGG